CATATAACTTTTCTCAAGCCTTTTATCCCTTCAAAGTCAGTAGGACAGTTCCCATGTGTAAAACAGCTCTGAAACACACACGCCTTCAGAATAAGACCTTAAGTAATGCTTTGTAACCCCAAAAGCATTTTCTGTTTAATAAAGAATAGTAAGAAGTGTTTGTTTCTTTTACAAAAAGGCAAAAATACTTTTAATGAAGCTAGGACCCTGACCTCAAATAGAGAACTGGATTATTTCAACTTGCTATGTTTTTTACTCAGCCTTCCTTGCATTCTAATCCTGATAGATTTCAGCTGTATTCCTCTAACAACAAATGGATTCTCCTGTGGCTAAAATAATTGTATAAATAGGGATGCTAATGTACTCCCTTCAGCTGATCAGTATCCAGTTGTAGAGACAGTGAGTTCAGCTTGTACTTGTATTATAATCTCCATTAACTTCTGCCCCCAATCTCTATGTAAAGATACTCTAGCAGAGCAATAACACGAAATAAGCACAAGATGCAAAACAGTTCTGGTGTTGAAAAATGAAGAGAAGAAAAATTTAAGGAAGAACTTCATCTGTGTCATTCATGCCAGATGGCTGCTTATTTAAGTAATCAAGTTAAGCAAGATGCATTTAGGGCTATATCTTGTTTAATTTGATTATTTAAATGAATAAACTGCCTGTAAGGCAGTGGTTTTTTGCAGATATAATCAGGTCATATTCAACTCTGGTTCATATTTGCTGATTTTGATACGGTTAGATCCAAAATGAATTAGTTCATGATTTCTCTACGTAGCTAAACTGTTTTGTTTACATGAGGAATGTTTTGGAACAGATGAGAATTACCCTGATGCACCAATTGATATTATGTTACTGCCTAGCAGATTAATGTTCTAGCAAATTTGCATATAATGAACACGGACCATAACCCTTTGTTGAAGTGCGCATCCCTGGGTGCCTGCCCCAGATAATGGGCCCTTTCCCTATCGACAGGGAACTGAGAAGGGAGGAGAAGCAGGTTCTGTAATTCCTCTTTTATGCATTCAACAGAACTACCACTGTAGCTGCGGAGGTATCAAGTAGTTACTGGTATGGGAGTGATTATACAAATGACATTATGCAATTTCAGTGACTGAACTAACTAAGACTCTACATTTGTTCAGTCTACAGTAGACATTTCCAACCCATATAGACTTCAACAAAGATAAGTGCTTATATGGTCAATAAACAATGTTGTTTTGCCCTTATTCCTGGCAAACTTATTATTTAGGGCTCGTCCAAAAATTTTCCACTGAAACTGTTTTTATGGAAAGCTTCAACTTAAAACTGAACAGCTTTTCATTTTTACTGAAAGGACGTCTCCTGTCTGTGGAATACTCTGTCCCTTTTGTCCTGGTGAGCTATGTCCCAAGCAAAGCACATTTTGATGGGGACGTGCCACTCTGAACACTCAGAGGAACTCAAAGTGGGGATCCTTTGAAGGCTCAGCTTAACTGCTGAGGCACAGTTTACTAAAATTAGTAATTGGTGCACGTTGTGAAATTTAGTCCGGCTGGAAAACCCAGCCTGGAGAGGCCAATGAAGGTACGAAGCACCTCAGGGCATTTCCATATCAAAGCATTCGTGTCTGTAACTTGACAAAATCTTTTTTAAAAGCCAAGGAAAATATTAGTAGCTTTGTTCACTGTGCAAAAAATACCTTGATTGCCAACTGAAAGCTAATAATTGAATTTAATTGAAATATCCAAATTTGGAAATTTTGTATGCCTTTTCTGTTTGTCCTGCAGTAAGTTTATAAATGGCTGGGGAGGACTGTACGGGAATGTGGAAAGCTAAGTTCACATATCTAGCCTGGAGTGATGTGAGAGGACAAATTTTGGTATGGAGCTGATGCAGTGAAAACTTGAACTTGCCTTTCCTTCCTCTTGAGCCAGGATCCCAGAGCAAAGCCTTTGGCTTCAATGAAACGCTATGTTTTTTCCAAAATTTAATTTTATTGAAAATATTCTAAAGGATCTACAATTAATACTTTTAAAATAACAGAAGGAAACAGGGATAGCCTCTATATATTTACTCAGATATTTGTTACAGTTACTCTACATAAATCACTTGGCTTGGCTCATGACTGGTTTTTAGACATAATTAGAAGAAACCATTTACCTTTTAGACCATCAGTTAATTATATTTCAAGCTCACAAAGTACAGCTGTTTTTCATTACCCACATATGTAACTGTACAAGCAAAGCAAATGTTACTGTTATAACATGGCATTCCTCTCCAAAGTTTACAAAAGCAGGGTGAGCTAATGGAAAAAGAACCACTAAATAAAGCACCCACTGGCCCGGTTTCTAGGCTTGCTTTTAGCTTTTTCCCTTTTTTGGCCATTTAAGAAAACATACTGCGATTTTTCCCACTTTATTTTTACCCAGACATGAAATAGCTAACAATAACTCTTATCTTTTTCAGTGGCGAGTTGAAACACGTTGGTTCAGATGAATAAGTATGAGGTTTGGGTGTTAAAAAAAATAATTCCAGCTCTGTTGCTCTATTTCCTTGTAAACAAGCAGACAAACACGAAACTTCAGTTTCTCTACGCATGCTGATTCCCTTACTTGTTAGGACCAGGCACAAATTTGATACTACCTTGAACATGAGGAAACACTGTAAAGCTGCAGATTAGTAAATTAAGATTTTTTTTAAGATCCCGTTATGGTCAATAATACTTACAGAACTTCTCATTAGTACACTTGCAGAATGATTTTCCTTTGACAAGTTTAAATAGAATGAATGCATGTGAGCCTTTACAGCATGAATAAATTCTGCTCGGTCCTTCTAACACCATCTATGTTTGTGACTTACTTGATCTTAGCTGGATATGGGAATAATTTATTTGATTTCTGAGTACAATTCTATGTGTTAATGCAGAGCTGGTTTCTGAATTTCTTATCGAAAGAATTACCTCCTGCTGCTCTTTATAGAAAAAAATATGACTCACTTCTTGTGGCTCCATCATCCATGTTTAATTTATGTTAATAACTTATGGCCTGATATCATGTATCACTGGTGTATGAATCCAAATAAATACATAAATTGCTTGGAATGTGAAGATGCCTCAGCACAATTGAAGTGCTTTAAAATTATTAACAAATAAATTCTCAACCTTCTACTCAAATACAGATTAGTTCCTTTTATTTCAAGTGGACTGAGCTTGTAGGACTGTAATTGCTTCTAAGAAAATGCATACCTAGTGGTCCCAATCCTTCATTAGAATGCAAAAGGGCAGAACCTGAAATTCACTTAGGTCCTGCTGATTCCTGACGTGATTCACAGATAAATAAGGCTTTTTTTCACCCAAGTTGAGGTCATAATTCAAAATTCTGGGTATGCCATTGGGGTAGATGTCCCCCCTGAGCTCCCTTCCAACCTGAATTATTCTTTGATTCTACATTTCTATCACGAAGTAGTAAATTCTCTTAGACAGCTGTTTCTCCTGGAGCCAAAAACTTGTTCCTATAACCCTTATGGGGATAAAACAGAGTAGATTTCAGAGGTACTGTGTAATTCATTCTGGAGGAGGCTTTGTCCCTAGTCTCAGACACATGAACTGCACCTACAGAAAAGAGCAAAGTTAAGGAAAAAGTATCAAAATGAGTAAGATCTATAGCGGCATGTTGTTTTATAATTCAGTTTGACAAAAATTAGGCACAGTGAAGTACTGAGGCTACCGCTGAGATTTCAGGAAGAAAAAATGTGTTACCAATATTTCAGGAAGCATGAAATACTATAAATCATTATTTTCTGACAACCCAGGGATCATAATTGATGCTTTTTCATGTTCAAGATGCTACACAAAAAGCAAGCAATTGAGCAGTAGGCAGGAACGCTTAGTCTTTTGAATGACTTTTATTTTATTAAGGTTATCGGTGAAAGCCTGAGATAACAGGTTGAGTCCTAGTGAAGTGCTCAGTGCAGTATTTCTTTATTGTTCATTCAGATTATAGCAGTGCCTAACCTGAGAGCACAGCTCCATTGTGCCAGGCATGGTCCAGACGTATAATTAGGGAAAG